AAAAAAAAAAAAAAAAACCAAAAGGAATTTTCCTATATAAATGTCTTGGTACCCCAGAGTCTGCATCTATAATTGGGAATAACTTGTAGTACTTAACTACTTTCTCATGAAGTGGTTATGGAATTAAATTATTAGTGAAAATAGGTCTATGCAATGGACATTCAGTAAACACTGGTTTTAAAGACTGATAAAGATGGAGTTGATGGATGAAAACTATCTTCACTTTGACTCCTCTAACTTAAGTAGCTGAGTATTGAATGTATTATTTGGCTTACAGTAAAAATCAACAAGAATTTTTAGATAGACCTCATTCTGGTTTAACCAAATTCTCTACTGAAAACAAATTTCCAGTTTCAATCCCTTCAGAAGATATAAGGGCAATCCCACAAGCCCATGCTTGCCTTGCATATTCCGTATTGTTTATCTTTTCTGTAATCTAATGAAAAGTTAAGGCTGTTGGGGAGTGGGTGTGACAACAATGTCAAAAGCACTCTCAAACCAGCCAATCTTAATATGTTACTCCCTATGTGATATAGGAGAAAGGTCTTCCATTACGGACCAAACTACCAAGCTACACATCATTAATGAGAGAGCTGGGAATCTATGAGATGTAGGTCCAAGGCCCTGGGTATGTTTGCAGCATTGTCTCTGAGGCAATTTCAGATCTAAAGGGTTTCTGCATTTGAATAGCCAGGTAGATTCTTAGAATAAGGTATCTGCAAGATGAAAAAGATCATTTACTCTAAAGTTTTCATTTTGGAAATCAGGTAAGAGGAGCTTAAGAGATGCTCTGTTACTTACACAGTCACACAAACCATTGTCATAACAAGACAAAAGTCTCAAGTGTCTATATTCCAAAACCTCTGTGCTTTGCATTGTCATAGAGTATCTGGGGCTAATTATCCAATGACAGCAATGGCAACATAAAACACTCTCTACAGGCAAGGCAAATTATGTTTTAAAATTGAGAAAGCACATGTAATACACAAAAAGACTGAATTTTACACCAAACTTTCACTGGAAAAAAAATGGAGAAAATGCCATCCAGTGAATAAATAGGTTGATATGAATTTGGGGAGCAAGCACTTAATTACTGAAAATTGGAGTGAAAAAGACAGCTAGTACTCATAGAAAGTAAAAAATAACTACATGTATTAAAACAGAAGGTGGATCTTTGAAATAACATTTATGATAATGGTAAAAGTATCTCTTTCACTCTCACATTTAATTATTTTATTATATTCTCCTTTAAGCTCATTTCAAGTTATATGTTATATAATTTTTTCCCTATCATCTATTTTTCCCCAAGTATACCTTTTGGACACCTGTAAGATGACAGAAAAAATAAAAAGTATGATTCCATACAATCTATACAAATGTGATTACAAGGTCAGAATCTGGTAAATAACTAGCAGTTGATCATCCAAATGTTCATCAACAGAGGACTGAATAAAGAAAATGTGGTATGGCTGGGTGTGGTGGCTTATGCTTGTCACTCTGACACTTGGAGGCTGAGGCAGGAGGATTGCTTGAGCCCAGGAGTTCAAGACCAGCCCACGCAAAAGAGTGGGACCCTTCCACTAAAATCAAATTTTTAAAAATTAGCTGGGCATGGTGGTTCACAACTGTATTCCTAGCTACTCAGGATGCTGAGGCAGGAGGGTCACTTGAGCCCAGGAGTTTGAGGCTTCAGTGAGCTATGATCATGCCCCTATACTCCAGCCTGGGAAGCAGAATGAGACCCTGTCTCAAAAAGAGAGGGGAGGAAAAAAGAAAATGTGGTATATGTATACCATGGAATACTACTCAGCCATAAGAAAGAGTTAAATCATGTCTTTTGCAGCAAAATGGATGAAACTGGAGACATTATCTAAGTAGATTGACTCAGAAAGTCAAATACTGCAAGTTCTTACTAATAACTGGGAACTAAACAGTAGTACAGATGGATATACAGAGTGGAATAATACACACTGGAGACTCTTAAAGGTGGGAGAATAGGAGAAGCATAAGGATTGAAAAATTGCCTATTGGTACAATGTTAACTACTCAAGTGGTAGGTACACCTAAAAGCCCAGACTTCACCACTGTACAGTATATTAAATATGTATTATTAGTAATATACTCTGGTACTCCTTAAATCTATGAGTGTACACTTGTTTAATTACCATTTTTTTAAATTAGCAATTGATCAATGAGAATCTTTAGGATGAAGGAACAGTAGTAGAAGAGAGAGGCAAAACTTCATTCAGAGGACAAACGTAATTACATATTATCAATAATTACAGCCATTTCTAATCAAATCCTGGTAAAGCAACAAATTCAGGATAGCATCCAGACCTGGCACCTACTATGTATGTGTTACAGAAAGACTAACTTGTAGGACTTTTTTGATATTTATAAATTACACACACGCGCACGTGCACACACACACACACACACACATATACACATATATATAGAGAGAGAGAGAGAAAGAGAGAGATTTTATATATGAAATTGCTGGCACATGGTAGGTACTAATTAAAGGTAACTAGTGTCATCATCATTACTTGTCTCCTAAGTTAATTCATGCTCATCATGCATATAGGCACTTAGTGGCAGAGTTATGAATAGATTTATATAAATAAAAATCTTAGATTTTTATTTCTCTTATGATGTTGTCACAAATGCAAATGAGAAGTTAGATTTATGTCTGTTTTCATAACTGCTACTCAGGCAATTTTCTCTATTTGTACCAATATGGGTCACTTGATTTATCTGGGAGTGCTATTGATTTTTTACATGACAGATCACCATATAATAGATAACAATATTACTGGAAACCTTAAACTACCCTTAACAGTCTTCAGGCTGTTGTCAGAATATTAGTTCATTGGGACTCAAGGAGTATTGTCTGTAGTCTTAATCAGAGAAGGCGCACAAGCGAAATGTCTTGTATTCAAGTACAATTAAAGTTCATTTGAGAAATTCACAGAAAATATATTGTCAACATACCTCAGAATTTACAAAAAGATACAAACAAGACACTATGGCAGGTTTATGAAGAAATAGATTCCTGAATGACCAGATTTTAATGTTTGTGGGAATCACTGGCTTTCCATCTTTCTGCCTGAAATAATAACATTTATTTTTTCAGTCCTTTTGATTAGACAATTGCTCCTAACTGGGAAGAGTTATTAAAAACAGATAGAAATCATTGGTTACCAGGATATGAATTTATTGACTGAGTTTTTCTAACATGGCAAGAAGCTGGACAGCACTGTGTTTGAAAAGAATCTGAGTCTCTGGCCACTCAGACAGAAGATAGTGAAAGAATAGGAAAGGAGTCCCAAAATACAAACATAACCTTTGTAAGAGTTTTGGGATTGTAAACCCTTCAGGGTTCATTATTATAAAGAAAGAGTACATTTATAGTACAATCCCAGGGAGATTAACCTCCCATAGTGCTGCCTCCAAGAAGCAAATAGACATACAGATGACAATCAAGTTTTACAAAAATATACAATTACTTGCAGTACATCATAAAATTCCAAAAATAACTCTTCAAACTATAGTGCACCTCTGTACCTGTAGATTCCTTTCCTTACAGGGATGTTTAACATAAATCCAAATTGAATAACATCTTGGAGTGTTTTTCAAAGGCAATCTCTGATTTCATCACACTTGCTTTGCATTTTTCTAATGAGTAATTGCAAAATAAAAAAGTGAAAGGACGCTACACTCCAAAATGCTGTTCCACTTTGGTTGTTACATAAGTTCAACTTTTGGGGCTCTTCCTGTATTATCTCTAAACTGAGATGTATTTTTAAAGTATTAGAAATAAGTGGTCCCATCCATGAAACCCCACAATCAAATGCAGTATGATATAACATTTAGCACATTCTTATTTACTGTTGAATTTAGTTTCTTTTAGGTATATCTTTGGACTTCCTCCCCTGATCCTTGTTCTGTTGCCAGTAGCATCATCTGATTGTGATATTGAAGGTAAAGATGGCAAACAATATGAGAGTGTTCTAATGATCAGCATCGATCAATTATTGGTATGTGCCTATTTTGTTTTTCTCACCTTTTCATGCATTGGGCAAATAAGAACTATTTTGGTATGCAGTTTTATAATCAAGTATTCATCTTTCTTGACAAGAAAGTGAAATAACTATAGAATAAATTTCAATGAGCTACTAACCATATATTTTTATAGTTGACATAATTATGTAGCTTAAAAATAATTCTTTCCTAAACTCTTAAGATTCTCACAACTACTCATTTCAGTCCTATTTCCCTTCACTACTAAATTTCTCCTAAGCATAATTCAGTATCACTGCCTGCATTTACTCACCTCCCATTTACCATGTTAGTCCCTGTAGAAGCATTACATTAAGAGAGGGAAAATAACAGAGTAAATATTTAAGACTTATGGTGAATAGATGCATATTTTATCTGAATGTGTGTATGTATATGCATGGTTATTTATATGTGTGTATTTTATATCTATATGTTATCTATACTTTGCCGTGAGTTAAATGTTCTATTCATGGTGGGTAAAGCTTTACTAATTAATAGATTTTATACCTTAGAGCCATTTTAGGTTTCTAGAAAATTTGAACAGAAAGTAGAAAATTCCCATATACTTTCTCTTTCTCTGCACTGTTTCCCTTATCATCTTACATCAGTATGGTACATTTATTACAATTGGTGAGCCAGCACTGACACATTATTATTGAAGTGCATAGTGAACATTAGGGTTCATTCCTTATGTTTTACACATTTTTGGGTTTTGAGAAATGTATAACATCACGTATCCATGATTACATATCATACAAATCATAAGGTATTATTCAAATCCCCTATCAACTGACTCATCCTTCCCTTTCTTCCCCTGAACTCCTAGTAACCACTGATTTGTTTATTTCTCTATAGTTTTCCCTTCTTTAGAATGTCACACAGTTGGAATCATGCAGTCTGTATGTAGCCTCTTTAGACTGGATTCTTTCATTTAGCAATGTGAATCACACCTTCCCCTATGTTTTTTTTTTTTTTTTGCACCATCATAGTTCATTTTTTCTTATTGCTGGATAACAGCCTATTTAAATGCATATACCACAATTAGTTTATTTCTTCAATGATTGAAAAATATGTCTCAGTTGCTTCCAATATTTAGAAATTATGAATAAAGCTTCTATAAACATGTACATGCAGGATTTTGTGTGGACATAAGTTTTCAACTCAAGTAAATAGCTACAAGTATGACTGCTGGATCATATGGTAAGACTGTGTTTAGCTTTGTACAAAACTGCCAAACTTTATTCCAAAGTGGCTGTACCATTTTGCATTCTTACCAAAAATAAATGAGATCCTAATGCCTTCCATCCTTGCCAGCCTTTGGTATTAACAATGTTTCAGATTTTGACCATACTTTAATAGGTTTGTAGTCATACCTCAGTGTTGTTTTAATTTTCCATTACATAATGACATATGATGTTGACCATCTTTTCAGATACTTATTGCCATTTGTATATCTGCTTTGCTGCAGTATCTGAACTCACATCTTAATGGACATATTAACAATATTGAGTCTTTTTATCCATTACTATGAACTATCATTTTTAATTTTTTTTCATCATTTAATTATATTATCTAGACAGAGAACCAATGAGTATTAATTTGGCAACATTTCTAAATAATTATATGTGTGTAAAACTCTGCAAAAGAAGATGTGATAGATGTGATTGAAAATGCAAACTTTCATCAGAGCTTTGTGCTTTGCATCATATAAATACTGTAAATATTTTTTTACACTTATACCTAAGTATTTCATATTTTAGTGCTATTGTAAATGGTGTGTTTCTAATTTCAAATTTTAGTTGTTTATTGCTGGCATATAGGAAAGCAATTGATTTTTGTATATTAACCTGTGTCCTGCAAACTTACTATAATCACTTGTTTGTTCTAGAAGTCTGTTGTTGATTATTTGGAATTTTCTACATAGACAACCATGTTATCTGCAAAAGTTAATTTTTTCTAAGGTTTCAGAACTATGTCAACACAATATGATTGATGAATTGTTTTAACAGATAATCTGTCTTTTTTCAATCAGATTGAAACTCCAAATAGCAAAGGAAAACTCTTTCAAATGTTCATAAGATGGGAGAAATTGTCTAATCTGTCCTCTCTTTTAGTCTACTGTCTCTTCCACATACTCATACCAAAGTGTCATGATGCCTTGAGGAATTTAGTGTTATACCTCTTGTAGGAATATGAGAACTTCAAAGAAATATTATACTACACTGTAAATTGTAATCCAGAGGTCCCTGATTTTGCCCATTGATGAGAAAAAAAATAGTGCACAGTAAATGCTAATTGCTCCATTTACATTTATTGCTAATTTGGACATTGTCTGCATTAGATGATGCTACTAGATTAATCTTTTGAGTTAAGATAATATTTCTTGTATAATTTTATTGGACAGAAAAACTAGTGCTAGTTCAACGTTTATAAATAACTATATGTGTGTAAAACTGCAAAAGAAGATGCTATTAAAAATTCAATAAAAGGAGAGTTTTATCCAACAGAGTCATGATACATTTTTTTTTGGTGGGGTAATATAGAGGAGCTTATCACATTAACACACAAAACAGGAACAAGTACATCAGCAGCACCAATGGTACTATTTTCAACAAACGAAACATAGCTATTCTTTTTAAGGAGGTTAATTCACAAGGCATGGAAGAGAACACAGCTAATCAGTCCAACTGAATAGCTCCACAGTAACTTTAAGAATGTTTTCTGTACATAGAAGGTGATACATTTGAGGGAAGGAGAAAGAAAGTCTTAATGAATTATTAATATCAACATGACTGGTAGAACAGATTTAGTTACTCATTCACTCAGCGTGTACTAGATGCTTTGCAAACATTACAGTGTTTAAGTCTTGGGGAGACCATAATACTAATAGCTATGAAGTGCTTATTATGTTCTCAGTGCTTTCCATTTGTTAACTAATTTAATCTTTACAACACTCCTTGAGAAAGACTCTTACTACCGCTGTTTCATAACAGAAGAATCTGAGGCTCAGGGTTATCCAGTTTGTAAGTGACCAAGCCAGTATCTTCGTCTATGCTCTCTACTGCACTCTCCTACCTCCCAGTGACAATCTTTGTGATAGTGTATTCATTCAGCTAACATTTATTTAGGACCTGATATGCACAAATTACTATGGAAAACCCATTTGTGTGGGTGATGTTGGATTTGGGTATGGGGACAATGATAGACCAAGTACAGATCCTTCTTTTAAGAAGCTTACATTTTGGTGGGGGTTAAGGGTTGGTGGTAAATATAGAAGTTACAATTTTAAAAGTGGGAAGAGTGTCTGCCTGATTGTTACATGTTAGCTTATCATCTAACAAACAGACTGGTTGTAAACCAAGCTCAGAAATGAAAAGATGTAAATGGTGTTCTAGAAGTAGTAAAGTAGCCATTTTAGCCTGTGTAGAGACAACATGTTGTGGGAAATTGAGCCGATCTCCAATATTTTTAGATAGTATACCCCTTCAGTACAATTGGATGAGCTTGCACTTCCAATATACATTTAGCATTGATTTGTAGATATTTACATGTTGTAGTACTTCCATATACATTAGTAATAATACACATACAATGACAATTTACAAAAAATGAGATAAAAACAAAACATAGATAGAACCTCTCACATTTCTGTCCAGTGGCCATGGAGTAGAGTAGAGGAAGTAAGAAAACAGAAATAATACTGACTATAATAGTAGAGTCCAAATTGGACACAGGGTAAGGATAAGACTCATTATTTCTACCCACCTCAGAGGGAAAAGGTGGTTCAAAATAAATGTAAAGTTCCTCACTCTGTATGTTCTGCCAAATATGGAATGCAGATTCCTAGAATTGGGATGACAAAATGAAACCGAATCATCATTTAAGCATCTTGATACTATCACCAAATTATTTTTGAGAAAGGATAACTCAGTTTACAGTTCTCACTGCAGTATATGAGATCAATATTCTTGTCAGCTTTTATTTTTATTTTTAAAATTATCTTCCAGTGCAATTATCTTTTGCAAGAAACATTGGATGTTTTTAAGTTTATTCATCATTTATATTTTCATTATTTAATTGTTTCTCATTGAGATCAAAATTATCCTTTTAACATATACAATTCAGCATCTTCAGGCACAACTCATTTTACTGTGCCTCACTTTATTGCACTTTGCAGATATTGGGGTTGTTTGTTTGTTTGCTTTTTACAAAGTGAAGATTGTGGCAACCACATATCAAGTAAGTCTGTTGGCACCATTTTTCCAACAGAATGTGCACACTTCCTGTCCCTGTTGGTAATTCTTGTAATATTTCAAACTTTTTAATTATTATTATATCAGTTATATGCTCGTTGATTAGTGACCTTTGATTTCACTATTGTAAATGTTTTGGGGGATCATCACTCATGCTCATATAAGAGAGCAAACTTAATCAGTAAATACTTGTGTGCTCTGATTGCTCCACCAACTGGCCATTCCCCATCTCTCTCCCTTCCCTTGAACCTCCCTATTCTTTGAGAAACAATAATATGTTCAAGTGAAAGGAAGAGTCACACATTTATCACTTTAAGCTGAAAGTTAGAAATGATACAGCTTAGTGAGGAATGTGTGTTCTAAGCTGAGATAGGCTGAAAGCTAGGCCTCTTGCACAAAACAGTTAGCTAACTGGTGGATGAAAAGGAAAGGTACATATGGTCATACATAGGTATTCTAAAAGCGGGGAGAGTGGAAGGAGATTGAGGGTTAAAAAATTAGCTATTGGATACAATGTTCACTGTCGGGATGATGGGCTCACTAGAATCCCAAACTCCACCACTACTCAAAATATCCATGTAACAAACCTGCACATATACCCACTAAATCTATAAACATTTTTTTAAAAAGAAAAGTTATTGAAGAAAAAAGTGCCATTCCAGTGAACACACCAATGATCAGAAAGCAAAACAGGCCTGTTACTGACATGGAGAATGTTTTAGTGG